TATCAAATTAATTAGTCACGGATGATTTCGATGTCACAAATTCAAAAATTTACATGTCACGGTTAATTTCGTTGGTCACATATTTTCAAATTTGTTGGTCACATATTGTCAAAAATTTTAGGTCACAATTAAATATTTGGTCACGGATAACCAAATATTTGGTCAAACACCACCGCCACTAATACCACATTACTCTAAAATTTACGTGCATACAGGTAACGAGTTTGAAAAAGTAAAGATTATTGGTTCAACTCAATAAATCAATGCATTTCTGGAGGAATTAACACGAGAATAATGTTATTTATATTTATTGGGATTATCATCACGTTATGACATTAAATACTAGTTACAATAATTTATACAAATAGGCAAATGATTCAGCAAATAGACAAACAACTTTTACGAAAGACGAATCTTGCTTTAATAAAGTTCATGATCTGTCATGGTGTGTCCAAACATAGACTCGTCTGGTCATAGAGGCAAACCATGTTGATTCAGCCATGATTCTTGAGTGTTTGTGGGTTCATGTGGTTTTAACAGTTTCATGAGTTGTGTTGTATCAATTTCATATGTGTCTTGGAGTCTTGTAGTATGCTATCATCATAGTTTAGCTGGCTCGTTCCTGTATCCATTGATTTTTTCATTTTTTCTGACTGATTACTTGATTCTGCTTTTTCTTTTCCTTTTTCAGTTTTCAATGGATTATTATGTTGAGGACCCCAAGTGTCTGCATTTATTTCGTTGACAATTTTTTTAATTTTTTTTCAAGAAATTCTTTTTCTTTATCCATATTGCGATGTAAGGTGTCAAGAAGTTGTCCTGCAATTTCCATTTATTTTTTCCTTAGCTGGCTTCCTTCTGAAGTTCTCTCTGAATATCTGCATGTTTCGCCAAGGCTTGTGTAGGTCTTCCATGATACAGCTATCCCCATTGATAATTGAATGCATAATCATACTCTGGGTTACTTACTGTATAAAATCTTTGAAGATGTTTTTCCTGGTACATCTGAATGTCTTTTGCAATTCTTTGAGTGTAATCTACTAGCAAAACTTCCAATGGTGCGTCAACTTTATAGTCAGGCCAAATCTGTGGAGGAATAGTTTGATTTATTTCCGCCATTTTCCTTTGAAATTCTAGAAATTCATGAGCATAACATTCCCAATTTTGATGTATATTAAATGGTTGAACTGCATATTCCTTGACATGAGAAAAATGAGCATAAACTCCAGTTTCAATGAAATATCCTTTTTAGAAGTTCTAAGATCTTGAAATTTCAAAGAGAATGATCGAAACATTTTTATCTGGTGAGAAATTGGATAGAATCACTCAAAAACATTTTTTGCAAAATGATCAATGGTTCTGAACGGAAAATTCAAGCTCATTTGACAAAATGTATCTAGCGTATCTTAAACATTAAAAGAAATTTCAATTTGTCAAAACTCCAAAAGATACCATAAAAAATAAAGTGTTTCTTTTGAAAATTTTAAGACAACATGGTTTGGATCAAAACGGAAAAGTCTAAAGAATAGATAGTCTGGATGAAATCCTAGACTATCAAGTGTTTCAATTCCAGTCTGTCTAATCACAATAGATTAGTATTTGAGCATGAGATCTTTGGATATAGATTTTAGAGTTTTGTTTCTGATAAGCTCATTTATTTCGGGAGGAAAAGGATCTATGCCTGGGAAAGGACCTTTAATTGAAATTTTCATTCCATGCCTAGTAGACAGGTGTTGATCCACAATGAAGATATATAACATTATTATTATTATTATTATTATTATTATTATTATTTTGTTGATATCAAATTTCGATTAGAGCACCATGCCAGCAAACAAATCAAAAACATTGTTCAAGAAAAATCAGGAAAAATCAAATCAAAGTTTTACGAAACAAATAAA